CCCTTCAAATTACCATTTCCTAACTTTGTAATGCTCCATAGAATCACGCTTTTGGGATTACCATTTTATCAATGAAAACTTGAGCCTTGTGCCCATTCGATTACAATTCTTATTTCATTCTGCCTTGCAAAAAAAGCATTTTTATTTATTGATATTCATTCTTGAAACAAAAAAAAGTATTTAATTTTGCTTTCAAAATAAAGACGACACTTTCCTTTGATTTATGAACATAAGAAGGAATATCGACAACTAATATAAGAACGATCAAACCTTGAAATACAGAATCAAGTGCTTTTGTGACCAATCTCAAAAATACCTCCAAGTGGCGAATCATTAGTTAAGATTGAGGTGCTCAACTCATCACCCACAGTAAGGAGTGAACTTCCTTTTTCCTCTGGTGAATTTAGGAATCAAGATAAAATTTGGTCCCTCTCCCCATGAGAGTGCTACCTTCTAAATTTCCATCTATGCAAGATTGGCCGAGTATCTGGTTTTGTTTATTTTTACAACCAGTTCTTATCTCGCGTCTGTTTTGTCAGCATAAACATAACATTCATTCATACATCATGCATAGTTAAATTCATGATCCACATTCATATACATCTCTTGACATGGTTCACTCACTTGGGTCATATTTTTTCCCCAAGTGGTAAGTTCCCTCTCTCCAATAGAATTGTCAACTTTAAGCAGAAAGTGTATATCCTTTCCCACTCCCCACTGAGTTTGATCCTCGTGGAAGTTTTGCTTGAGTCCTCCCCTCCACACTTGGATAGGATAAATTCCCAGTTTGAGTTCATTCCTCATGAGGAAATGTCTTGTTTAAAAGAGTCTCTCTCTAATCTATTACTAGATTGAATTTGGTCATTGACCATTTTGATAACTTGAACCTCTAAAGAATGAGAAGGAATTTATTTGTGCATCTATTAAACCTCATTCTTCCTAGTGGAGGTGCACTTTGCTTTCCAAGATAAAGGTAAATTCCCCATGGAAGCCTCTTAGCAAAACCTCTTTAAAAAGGGACATCACATCCCCAGGAAGTCTCTCTCTAGTCTATTAATGGATTGAATTTGGTCCTTGACCATTTTGATAACTTGAACATCTAAAGAATGAGAAGGAATTTATTTGTGCATTTATTAAACCCTACTCTTTCTAGTGGAGGTTCACTTTTCTTTCCAAGATAAAGGTAAATTCCCTAGTGGAAGCCACTTATAAAAACCTATTTAAAAAGGGATATCACATCCCTAGGAAGTCTCTACTAATCAACAAACGACAGTCTCCTTCAGAGCAGTTTGTCTATCCCCGTTGAAGATAAGTTTATCCCTCTTTAGAATCTACACCTGAAAAACAAGTGGCAATCTCTTAAGAAGCTTATTTTTGTCATAGAAATTTCTGGTGGATCGACAAATGGAAATCTCTTCCCGAGAAGTTTGTCCCTTTTTCAATAAAGTAATCAGCACCTCAAAATTATCCTACATCACATGGCATCTCCCTGTAGAAGTCTCGAAGGGAAGTATGATGAAATTTTTCCAGCAAATGGCTTCTCAGGAGAGAAGTTTGCAAAACTCTAAATTTCAGACAATGGTATTCCCCAACAAGTCTGACATCAGATTATCACTCATCCTATGGTGTCTCTCTGAAGAAGTCTTGAAGAGAAGTATGATGAAGTCTATTCTCATCAAATGGACATCTCCCCTGTAAATCTCAGTGAGAATTTTGGCTAGGACCATCATAGATTATGTCTCTTTGTTCAAGAAGTTTGTCCCGTAATATAAATAGTCCACATCTCCTCGAAGATTCCCGGTGAAGTTATTTATCCGGCAAGTGATCACCTTTTCCAGAGCTTGTTATCTCAACCTTTTTAAGAGAAAGACTTGATAAGAAGAAACAAAGTCCAGTTACATGTCTCATGGCCAGAAACGTGGGGAAATTTTACCCTTTTTAAGTAGGATTACTTAGTTAAAGAAGATGAGTAAGCATGTTCCAAAGGTAGGAACCTGTTACCATTAAAATTATTAGAATCATAGTCGTACCCCCAGTGGAGTTTTCATCTCCCCAATCAATGAAGATACTTCCTTGTTTCCTAGCAGACTACATTCTTAGTCTTAATTTCTTTCCCCATTGAGTAATTCTTTAATCCCCAGTGTAGCGGGAAAATTTCTGAGTATAAGCTATGGATTAACTTAACTCCAAAAATGCAAGAGTCGCCACCGCACTTTTATTTTTATCCAAAAAAGGAAAGGAAAAAGAGTGAACAAAACCAAAGAGTTCTAAAACAAGAACAAGAAACAGAGATCTGGTAAATTGGATAAAGACTCTGAAGATTAAGTTTTTGAAAACTCTCTCATACAAACTTTGAACCTTCTTCTATGCATGCTTCATCAACTCACTACCTGAAGCCTTTGAAAATTTGAAGTTAGGATAAAAAAGGTTTAACGTGGGAAATAATACGTTGTACAAGATCAAATATTCTTTCCACTACAATGATTTTGTAGGCAAAGGAATGTACTATTATACCTTTGTGTCTCCCATTTTCACATACTGTTATGCAAGAATACATATACATTTGCGGATTCCAATTCTACCATCCAACATATCTTTTCATGCCTTTATAAGGGAGACTTGGAAGAATGGAAAGTTGTAAACTTTGATATAATATCATTTTACATGAACATTACAAACTGTGAATATTTTGAGAGAAAGAGAAAAAAACACACAAGGAACTTTTTTGTTCATATTCTTCATAGAAAATATTTTGTGTGATATTTTGTAATTCATTTGTGTATTCTGCTTTCTTAGAAGCATTTTGTAAACACATTTTGAATTTCAATCTTGTAATTGTATTTCCTTGAGTGACTAGGGTTTAGTCAGAATTACTCAAAAATACATTGAAGTTAGTTTTTATGGTTGTGATCAAGTTTGACTATAGTGGATTAAGTCCTTGTGATAAGGAGAAATCACCTTGGCGGGTGGACTAGAGGTAGCTTTGTTAACCACAAACTAGGACAAAAATAATTGTGTTCATTATTTTTGTTCTTTGTTTTCCTCTTATTGTTTTGGGTAGCAAAAGTTTTTATTTTAGAAACCCAATTCAAACCCCAATTTCTTGTGTTTCCGTTATCTTCATCAATTATACGCTAAAAGAGTATATTAGATCTATGACTTAGAAATTTTGGATAGTTGAACCTGGGGTGAGGAAAGTGTCTTAGGTTCAATTGAGAAATGCTTCATCATTTTAATATATGTGTGCTAAAGGATTCTAAACAAATGAGATACATTGCGAAAGTAAGTATCTCGTTAGTTTAGGACACAATAATGCATTGACGAAAGTAGGCAATACCAATAATTTCTATTATTTTTCTTCAAATAAAATATCTGTTATTAATTGGAATTAGGATTTACATGAGTAAGTATAGGATACAATTCATTCTCCCAAATCCTTTTTTTTATAAATTATTAAAAATAATGTTTAGTTATTTTCAAAACAACCTAAAAACGATCTTCTTAGTTAAACATAGTTGTAATAGAATTTGGTGCCCTTAACATCATCTAAAATGTTGATATAGTTGAACGCTTGCAGCATGTCAACTAGCCATGGCTAGAAATAAACAGTAGGAAACAACAATAGTAAACAACAATAGTAAGCAAGAATGAGAGAAATGGTACATGGAGAAAACTGGAATTATGAAGGGAAAGATATGATGAAGATCACTTTAAAACACAAGAAACTAGTGAGTGGTGAAATCTAAAAGGAGAAACAAACAAATAGAGCAAGATGCCACCCGAACTTAATGATGTATGATCGGAGTTGGCGAGAGAGGGAGAGAGGAAAGAGATAATTTACGCAAAGAATGTAAACATAATATGAAAGGAGGAATAACCTTTATATAATTGAGCGATTTAGATTAATCGACAGTTTAGAACTAAAGGAGACATGCAGACTAAAAACAACAATTGAATTTACCTCAAGATTGCAACAATACTTGAGTGGACTTGAGCACCCTAAAAGAGAACACCACACTCTACCATAAGGATTTAAAGCCACATGTGAGAGTGATTTTGCAAGATGTTTCAGTGACAAGACTGACATTTTATGCGCTCATTCCCAAGGTCATTCATTCCGGTTATCCAAATATTTTTCACTTTCGTGACCAGAAAATCTAGCATAGTCTAGGGCAACGAGTCCCAAAAGTCTTCCCATTACTACTCAATGGCAAGCTTTGGAGGCAAGTGTTGTAGACCGACCGTAGGCACAATGTCAAATATGCCTAATTATTATTCAAAAGTGTGTCCGCCAAAGGGTGGAAGGTTCTGTGCACCGACGACCCTGGAACTCGTACTCGATTCACGTCGCAGATAGCTATCCATTATTGGATATGATCTAATAGACCCTCGTGTTCCATGTCGGGAAACATGGGGTGATTGTAACCATCCCTCATATAGAAGGTACTATACGCCAAATTTGCATACATGTTCTAACCATAGCTTTACAGTTTTTCACCGATTAACTAATTTAGGCGTTAAACTCATAATTTTGTAAATCCACCTTATTCCATCGTATAGGAAGAACACTCACCACCGCATCAATCAAATTCACACTCTCGTATTTATCACTTTTGATTCCTTGTATGAAACAATGACATTCAATTCAATTCCCAAATGCACCACTTATTTTCCAACCTCAAGATTGCTCCCCCAACTCACATGAAAGAAAAATATAATTTACATGTGTTTAAAATATATTTTGTAAAAAAATAAAACTATTAACACATATTAAAATTTGCAAATAATTTAATATGTAAAAAAAGACGATCCTTTAGTTAGAAGGAAAGAAATAGAGTGATAGATAATATACCATAAATATCTAGTTGGTTTTATTTTTATATGAGTTAAAATTGATTACAAAAATATGTAACTATTTGATTGTTCTCAAATAAAAAATATTTAAACTAAAAAATAAAAATCTTACAAGTGAAAAAAATTAGTGCAGATTGAAATTTATTATGAGTATTCCAGTTCCAAACATGTATCAAGTATATCTTGTTTGTAGCATAGCATTGGAATGTGGAGTGGAGCCCATTGGTGAACCTATGCTTAGCTGGCTCCAACCTCTTTTTATGGACCTTGTCTCCCTCTCTACAAGTAAAAGCCTTTTCACTCCAAAAACTCTTCAATTCTTCTTTTTCAACTCTCTCTCTCAGATCTATTCAATCTCAGATCAACATCTTTTTCTTCTTCTTCTTGGTAAGATCCCTTTCCTCTATTTTCTTTTCTTTTCTTTTCTTCTTGCTTTTTGATTTTCAATGTAAATATGTCAACTTTGGATTCATTCCCATTGAGCTGACCAGAAAAGTTTTGAAAATGAAAAAAAGAAGAAATATCATAGCTTTTTCGTTTTTTATGGATGTTGATACATGTTATAGAATTTGGGTCATAGTTTTTCTTGTAAAGTAACAAGAAGAGAAACCAATTTCTGTTTTTGTTTCTTAGGATACCGTATTAAGCAATTAAGCAATTAAGCAGCTTGTTTTTTTGACCTTTTTAGTTTATTTGTATTTGAAGTTGAACTATATGATTGATTTATATGTGTACTTGTTTGTTGATGTTGGTGTAGTTGTTGTAGTTTTCTGTGGATCACCGTCATCATCGTCGTTGTCATCATCGTCATTGTCGTGGTGATCGGTGACTTTTTTGTGAGGATTGTAGGATTGTGTCTATATAGTGTATTGTGTGTGAAAACTGTGAGGGCTGAAGTGTGTTTGTTTAGTGGGATTTGGTAGATGTGGAAATCCTTGATGGTTGTTTGGTGAAATGAGGGATGTTATCGGAGTTAGTGAACTTTTTGAAGGCCTGCTTTCGGCCGGGTTTGGATGGAAATGGACGCGCATCGTCGGATTCTGGAGGTAAACAAGATGGACTATTATGGTACAAAGACTCGGGGCAGCACTTATGTGGTGAATTTTCGATGGCTGTAGTTCAAGCCAATAACTTGCTGGAGGATCAGAGCCAGATTGAATCGGGGAGTTTGAGCTTGAATGAGTCTGGTCCTTATGGAACTTTTGTTGGTGTCTATGATGGACATGGAGGGCCGGAGACGTCGAGATTTATCAACAATCACCTATTTCAACATCTCAAGAGTAAGTTGCCAACAAGATTATCGAATTCTTCATGCTTGTTTGTATTAGCATAGAGTTTACTTGTTTGTTGTGATTTATTGTATTTTTCTTTGTAGCACGGACACCTCTGAAAAAAGGCGTGTCCGTGTCAAACATAACACTTGTGATTATGTTCAATTTATTTATTTTTTCAAATTGTTTCCAGTGTATGTGTCAGTGTCGGTGTTTGTTTGTGTCCGTGCTTCATAGGTATTTTCTTCTACTTTCCCGAAAAAAGAAAGAAAACCAGTTATCTAGTTCATTTTAACCGATACCCTTTTGAACTAATAAGATTAGAAAATAGTGGATTATGGCGGAAAAATCCGAAATATATATTTACTACGGCGACGAGTTCAAAAACTGCCATGTATAACCGCCATAGCACTGTCACGGCTGCTATTTGATAACACTGGGCTATTAGCCATTTGCAATTGCAAGATAAGGCACTTGTGAAGCTGTTTGAAAGAGTTCATGAAAATAACTTATGACATGTTTTTAAACAGTTTTCAGCTTATTTCCATAAGCTCTCTCTATGATAGCTTATGAAAATAATTTATATGAAAGCTGTTTGATCTTATTATATATTTTTCTATAGAAATAGATTAAACATACGCATTTTTATGATAAGCGCTTATGCTATAGTCACTTAAATATGTTCCAGATTCGTGCGGGATCTGGATTTTCCTTGGATCCCACATGACGGAACCTTTATAGGACCGTGTTGGTTTTTTCTATAGCCAGTGAAGTTTACTATTAGATTTGTTGTGTTACGCATGATTACAAAAATGTGAACTTAAATGCATTCGTTCACTATTTTTAACTTCAGGGTTTACTACTGAGCAACAATCGATGTCAGTGGATGTAATTCGCAAGGCATTCCAAGCAACAGAAGAGGGGTTTATGTCACTAGTTTCGCAACTGTGGCCTATTTCACCGCAAATTGCAGCAGTTGGATCATGTTGTCTTGTTGGTGTTATTTGTAACGGAACCCTTTACATAGCAAATCTCGGCGATTCCAGAGCTGTTTTGGGAAGAACAGTTAAAGCAACCGGTGAAGTTTTAGCCATGCAATTATCAACAGAACACAATGCATCCATAGAGTCTATAAGACAAGAGCTTCATTCTTTGCACCCCGACGATTCAAATATTGTTGTCTTAAAGCATAATGTATGGCGTGTGAAGGGGATTATTCAAGTAAGTCAGTCAAATATTGTTATGGTACATACGAGATAGTCTTGGTACCATAACAGAATTCTTCTTCAGTTTTGTTGCTATAATTGCTATATACTTGATTCTTGTTAGTTTTTATATGAGCGAAAAGTCAGATTCATTTGGATACGTGTTCTTGTTTTTCCTATTGCAGATTTCTAGATGTATTGGCGATGTATATTTGAAGAAAGCCGAGTTCAATAGAGAACCATTATATCCTAAGTTCCGACTTCACGAGCCGTTCAAGAGGCCAATACTGAGCTCAGAACCATCAATATTAGTGCATCAGTTGCAACCTCAAGATCAATTTATAATATTTGCATCGGATGGGCTCTGGGAACATTTCAGCAATCAAGAAGCAGTCGATATAGTTCAAAACAACCCCCACGCTGTAAGATACTCATTTACACATCTATAGTATTCGTCACGTGAGAATAGTTTCAAGCAAACATATTGTTTCGTAGAAGCTCATTATAATACGCGTACGTATTATTGTTTCAGGGGATTGCAAGGAGGATGGTGAAAACTGCGCTAAAAGCGGCAGCAAAGAAGAGGGAAATGAGATATTCGGATTTAAACAAAATAGACAGAGGAGTTCGTCGACATTTCCATGATGATATCACTGTGATAGTTGTATTTCTTGACTCGAATATGATGAGTAGGGCAAGCACTGTGAAGTTCCCTAGTATTTCTGTTAAAGGAGGTGGTGTTAGCCTCCCTCACAACTCATTAGCACCTTGTACTACTACAACAGATAATGGTAGTACTTGATCATGTTTATTTAATTTAATTGGGATTTATATACTAGTAGGTTTAGAGTATGAAGAAATATAATTTAAATCGCATATATTTTCGAGGCATAGCATAAAATTTCAACCATCTTTAACAATCTGTCTGAAAGAATTGTGGTGCATGCATTGCTATGATATTAATAATGCAAGTAAGAGGCACATAATTTTGTAGATGAGAGTTTGGTTAATGGAGCAAGAAGTCAAGTTAAGCTTGAACAAACTACTAAGTCAATACCATATACACAATGTTTATAACATGTTAATAAGATGATAAATATAGAAATTGAAAGTAAGAAGAATAAATTAAACTTGAGTTTCAATATTTTAGTACTTATGTGACTTTGGTCTTTCACTACACCCTTTGAAAGTATTGGCACATTAGAGCATTTCAATTGTAGTAGATACACTTTCTATTTGCAAAATATTTAGTGTCTTTGAGTAAAATGATTTAGAATGAGTTGATATTTTATGCTATGCGCCAACGCAATGCCCAACTCTGTTTTTGATAACATAGCCAAACGAGACAAACACTCCCTCTTGGATACCTACATCAACCTGAAGCAAATACACGTCCCCCTTAAAAGCATCAACATCATAGCTAACATTCCCCAACTCCTTAGCAATAGCCTCCAGATTGGCCATGTTGAACTCAGTCACAAAGTCAAGAGCTTCCAACGCCACCCTGGCCGGGTCAGCATCTTTCTTCTGGAAAATCAAAGAATTCCTCGCATTCCACACCTTGTACAGTAACGCGCAGAGGAGCTGGGTGCTCAGCATATTGCCACAGTTCATAATACTAACAAGCCAGTCTGAGGATGTGAGAATCATGGGGGACCCTGTAGCTAAGAATCGAAGAAAATAGAACTTGTTTCACAAAGGGGCAGACCATAAACAAATGTTGGGCAAATTCGCCAGCAGTGCCACATAACGCACAACAATTATCAATCCTAACACCTTTCTTGATCAGGTTGTCGCTAAGAGGGGGAATATTCTTCGCTAATCTCCATATAAAGTTCCTGTTTCGGGAATGTATTTTACCCTTTCAAATCATCTTCCACAGTTGACGAAAAGAGGGGGCAGAGAGACCAGGATTCATGGCCTCACGAGACATAAAGCAAGAATGGTAAGCCGTGTGAACGGAGTACTCCCCGTGCTTTTCGAAGTGCCATATAAGACGGTCGTCCAGATTCCTAGATGAGAGAGGAATACTAACAATCTGCTTGGCCTCCCCAGGGTCGAAACATTTGTAGATAACATCAGCCTTCGAACAACCAAGGTCATTGTCAATAAGCTCCTTAACTTTTGCATCTTCCTCTATACCAACAGTAGTACCAAGAACCTTAAAAGCGAAATTATCGGGGAGCCAACTGTCATGACAGATAGACACCTTCTCCCCATTGACGATCTTCCACCTTGCCCCCCAATTCATAACATCTCTAGCACATAGGATACTTCTCCAAGCGTGACTTAGAGCAAAACCTAAAGAGCTTTCAGAAATCGAGGTACATGGGTAATATCTGCCCTTAAACACCTTGGCCATTAAGGAGTTGTTCTCCGTGAGAAGTCTCCAATAGTGCTTCCCAAGGAGGCACAGATTGAAGTCACTAATACCTCGAAAGCCTAACCCACCGTCGCCTTTTCTCTTGGACAGCTTGTCCCAACTCAATCAATGGATTTACTTCTCCCCGTTCTTGGCTCCCCACCAGAACCTAGCCAACATAGCCTCTAGTTCATGACAAACTGAGTCAGGCAATTTGTAGCAACTCATTATTTAAGACAGAATTGCATGTGCAACATGTTTTATTAGAACATCCTTTCCTGCACTAGACAAAAAAATTTCCTTCCACCCTTTGAGCTTCTTCCAAACACGTTCAACAACCAATGCAAAGATTTCCTTTTTGGATCTTCCAAACACCACAGGAAACTCAAGATACCTGGTATGATTTGCAAAAACCTTAACCCCGAGTCTGTAACGAATCGTGTCCATGTCCTCAGCAAGAACATTTCGGCTGAACGATGCCTCAGATTTCTCGAAAGTAGGTAAGCCGGAAGTTTTTAAAGAGCTGAGAAATTCTGGAGTGAGAACATCAAGCATGTCCTGGTCGTGAATCTTTGATCTATCCACCTTGTTACAGCTATAGTAATCCCTAATGTCACCTACAACTAAATGTTGTGAAACATATATAGCCTATGAATGAACATATAAAATGCAAATGAATACTATGGAGGAAGCAATAATACCTGGCATCATGGCCAATACATGATCATTAATTTATCAACCATTTCAATGGTTGAAGCCAATCCTAATCAGGTAGAAAGAAACTCCTGGCCTGTTGGCTCGCAACAACCGGCATAATCTTTTCGTAGATTCCGCGTTGCTCATATATACAAATAAATTTGATCATAATATAATTTAATGGTGATGTAGTTATAGAAAATTTAAATAAAAGTCATGGAAAAAATCTGTAAGAGCACTGTGAAGTGATTGGAAATCATCCTTCATGGTTTGAACGTCGTAACGGCG